TTTCTTTTATTTTTCACTTTTTTACTTTTCTGTTTACAGTTATATCTCTAGCAAGTGATACTGCTTTTTAAAAAATTGTGAAAGGACAGACAAATTTATCATCTGAACTGTTTTTAAGTGTACAGTTTAGTAGTGTTAACTCTATTCACATTGTTGTGCATCAAATCTCTAGAACTTTTCACCTTGTAAAACTGAAACCGTATACTCATTGAATAACAATTCCCCACTTCCCCTGGCCCCTAGCCCTTGGCAACCACAATTCTTTCTGTTTCTATGAATTTGTACTACTTTGGATATGCCCCCAAGTTTTGATGGTCTTATTGTGGTTAGGTAGGAAAATGTTCTTGTAAGAAATACACCGTGAAGTATTTGAGGATGCTGAGACATCGCATTGGCAATTTATTATCAAGTGGTTCCAGAAAAAAGTTATTTGTGCTATTCTTGCAGCTTCTCTCTGAGTTTGAGATAGTCTGAAAATAAGGTTTCAAAAAATATACTGATATTATTTCTTCCTTAAATATTTAGTATATTCACCAGTGAAACCACCATGATCTAAATTTACTTTGCAAGAAAGTTTTTAGTTGTGAATTCAATTTCTCTAATCGATATCAGACTATTTAGATTTTCTCTTTTACCTTCTGTCATTTTGGCAAGTTTATATTTTTCTAGGAATTTGCCCTTTCATCTACATTTTCAAATTCATGGGCATAAGATTGTGTATATCTTTTTATTATCTTTTAAACTGTCTAAGGTTTATATTGATGTCCCCTTTACATCCATTAATTGGCTATTTGTGCCTTCTTGTTTGTTTGGTCAATCTCACCAGGGATTTATCAGTTTTATTAGTCTTTTCATGGCACCAACTTTTGGCTATGTTACAGTGTATTTGTTTCTTGTTTCATTAATTTTTGTTCTTTTTTCTACTTTCTTTGGCTTTAGTTTCCTGTTAGTTTTACAACTTCTTGAGATGAATGTTTGAGTCATTGATTTTTAGCCTTCTTTTGTTATGAGTAATGCTGCTATGAGTATTTGTGTACAAGCTTCTGCACGAATATATGTATTCATTTTCCTTGGGTATATATCTAGGATTGAAATTGCTAGGTCATATGGTTAACTTTATGTTTAATTTTTTGCCAAACTGTTTTCCAAAGTGACTGCTCCATTTCACGGTCCCACAAGCGATGTAGGAGGGCTTCAGTTTCTCTACATCCTTACCAAGACCTGTTTTTTTTCCCCCAGCTTTACTGAAGTATAATTGACAAAAATTTTACGCATTTAAGATGTACAACATGATGTTTTAATACACCTATATATTGTGAAATGATTACCACAATTAAGCTAATTAACATCCATCACTTCACAGTTAGTTATCTTTTTGTGGGAGTATGCTGAGAACACTTAGCAATCTTAGCAAATTTCAAGTATATTTATTCATCCTGCATAATTGAAACTTTGCCCGCTTTGACCAACATCTCCACATTTTCCCCATCCCCTAGCCCTTGGCTACTACCATTCTACTGTCTGCTTTTATGAGTTAGACTTTTTTAGATTCCACACGTATGTGAGATCATGCAGTATTTGTCTTTCTGTGTCTTACACACTGTACTTAGCATAATGTCCTCCAGTTTCATTCATGTTGTTGCAAATGGCAAGATTTCTTTCTCTTTAAAGGCTGAATAAAATTCTTTTACATACACCACGTTTTCTTTATCCCTTCATCCATTGACAGACACTTAGGTCATTTTCATATCTTGGCTATTGTGAATAGCAGTAAACACAGGATGACAGATAACTCTTTGAAAAACTGATTTCGTTTCATTTAGATATATACACAGAAATGGGATTACTGGATCATATGGTAGTTCTATTTTAAATTTTTTGAGGACTTCCATACTGTTTTCTATGATGCCTCTATCAATTTACATTCCCATTAACAGTGTACAAGAGTTCCCTTTCCTCCATACCCTTGCTAACACTATTTATTTTTTGTCATTTTGATAGTAGGCCATTCTCACAAGTATGAGGCGATATCTCATTGTAGTTTTGATTTGCATTCCCCTGATGATTAGTGATGTTCAGCACCTTTTAATATTCCTATTGGCCATTTGTATGTTGTCCTTGGAAAAAAGTCTGTTTGAGTCCTTTGCCCATTTTAAAATCAGTTGGGTTTTTTTTCTATTGAGTTGTTTGAGTTCCTTACATATTATTTTATATTAACCTCTTATATCCGATATATAGTTTGCAGATATCTTCTCACATTCCATAGATTGTCTTGCCAACACTTGTTATCGTTCATCTTTTTGATTACTGCCATTCTAGTAGGTGTGAAATAGTATCTCATTGTGGTTTCAATTTGCGTTTCACCAATGACTAATGATGTTGAGCATCTCTTTTTGTGTGCTACTGGCCATTTTTATGTCTTCTTTGGAGAAATATCTATTCAAATCTTTTGTCCATTTTTTAATTAGGTCTATTTTTTTAATGTGTATATAATCACAATTATCTTAAAACATGTGTCTAATAGCTCCAATATCTGGATCTCATGTGTCTTACAACTGTTGTTTTTTTCTCTTAGTTATTGGTTATTTGGTCTTGTCTTCTGATATGCTGGATAATTTTAGATTTAATTTTAGATTTAAATATTGCATGTGAAAACTTCCAGAGATAATTGAAGTTTTGAGTGGTGTTATTTCCCTCCAGAGAGAATTCATTTTTTCCCTCTGCAGGCAGAATCAGATCATCTCAATCTGATCAGAGATTGAATTTATTTGAATCTGGCCTTCAGCCTTTGTGAGGAATGGCCTTTTTTCCAGTTTGTTCTTATTTCTAGGGTCAGGGATTGTAACTAAAAGCTGGATTTTTTCCAAACTCTCTCCTCCTCACTAGGTCTGAACTCCAGTTTTTGTCCTTCTCGCCCTGACAAAACCTCTGCTCAGCTTCTCAGCCTTGAAGCCACCACTTTCAATTCAGCTTCTCTGCAGTTTGGTGTCTCTGCTTCTAAGCCCCAGCTTTCTAATGGGAAAAGCAGCATCCACATGTTGGGCTTACCCTTCTTCTCTGCTCTCTAGGATGTTGGTCAGCAAGTCCTTATGCCTTGAAAGTTCTGCATTGACTTCAAAAACTTTGTTTAAAGACGCATTTTATCTACCTTTTCTAGTTGTTCTCAACGGAAAGTTGGACTGACACAAGCTAATCCACCATCACTGGAATTAGAAGTCTCAAATATATTTCTTTTTCATATTTTGCCCAAGTTTTGTTAGTTCTTCTCAGTGCACAAGTTGGTCATACCCACTTACTCCACCCTTGCTAGAAGAACACTTATACATTTTAACTTAAAATGGTTATGTCTGTCTTTATTACTAATGCTTTGACATAGGGTCTGTCCTTTCCTTGGAGTAAGGACCCACTGATTAGACCCTATATTCTTTATAGGGTCTAGTTTCCATTTCCGTAAAGTGGAGAAATAATTTAAAGATAGTTCTAAGCAACCTGATTGCAGATACTTTTTAGTTTTTTATTATTTCCTACCCTGATTGTAAGTATCTCACCATGCTTAATTTGACAACTGTTATTTTTGGCAATTTATTTTTGTCTAATAGAAATAACAATGGTCTTTCTTTTTGTATGTATTTCACAGGTTAATTAAATTATGCATTTAATTAAATGTTTAAATATTTAATTACATGTTTAATAAATTATGTGATTAAATTACATGTTTAATTAAATAATTACAATAAAAATTACAACTGGCATGTACAAGTTTACGAACAAACACGATTAACCCTTGGTAAGCATAGAACTCAACTGGTAGGCGCAGACGATTATCTTACTAGCAGCAAGGGTTTGCCAGACCATAGGCATCAATTAGAATTTTTTATAGAGCAAGGATCCCCAACCCCTGGGCCGCGGACTGGTTTCCAGTCCATAGCCTGTTAGGAACTGGGCCACATAGCAGGAGGTGAACAGCAGAAGGAGTGAAGTTTCATATGTATTTGCAGCCACTCTCCAGCGCTAGCATCACCGCCTAAGCTCCACCTCACATCAGCAGGCATTAGATTCTCATAGGAGCACTGGTCCCTGGTGCCAAAAAGGTTGGGGACCGCTGCTATAGAGGGAATGGAAAGTGCGAGTTAGCATGTTGAGTGATATGGATATTGTATAAGAGACCTGGAAGAGGTCTGTGAGGCTGGGACAGTAGCAGCACAAAGAAGTGGAGAAAGATCTATTGGCGATGTACAATTCTTAAAACAATGCCTGATGCATAGTAAACACTAAGGTTAAGCTAGTAATATTATCATGATTATTCTCATCATCATTATCTGGGATGTCTAGAAAAAAGAAGAATATCAGATCTGTCTCCTGTGCTCCTAACTCAGCCACTGTTCCCAGCCGAAACTCTCCTAAAAAGAGCAGTGTGTGATCAACTGTGATACATCCACACAATGGAGTACTAGCAATAAAATAGAATGAGATATAGGTACACACAGCAACTTGGATGATTCTCAGGGGCATTATGCTGAGTGAAATGAAAGAAGGTTGTCTCAAAAGGCTGCGTACTGTATGATCATTTATATGACAGTTTATCAGAGGCAAAACCATAGTGATGGAGAACAGATCAGCGGCTGCCAGGGATTAGAGGTCGGGGGAGGTATGACTACAATGGGAGAGCACAGCACGAAGGACGTTTTTGGGGGTGACCGAACTGTTGTGCATCCTGATTTTGGTGGTGGTTATTCAAATCTATACATGGATTAACATTCATAGAACTGTAAAACAAAAACAACCAAATTTACTATATGTTAATTAAAAAATAAAATTAAAACTAAAACTTCAAGAAATAAAGAGCATTGTGGAGAGCATCCTAGTATATAAGGATGTAAGCTGGCCTGGCCCCAAGTGCTGCCTGTCTGGCCCTTCTCTTGGGGCAGAGTATGTACACCTAGCTCTCATCCTCTTCCTGGGCCATCGTCACTCACTGACATTTCTCTTCCTTGCGTTAGATTGGAGCTGGAGGGAGCATCACTGGGCTGAAGTTTAACCCTCTCAATACCAACCAGTTTTTCACCTCCTCAATGGAGGGAATGACTAGGCTACAAGACTTTAAAGGCAACACTCTCCAAGTTTTTGCCAGCTACAGCATCTGCAAGTGAGTAGTTTAACTAGTAGGGAAAAGGGCTTCTAGGCTCTTGGTATAGTTCTGGGGAGAGCATCCAGATCCCATTTCTTTTACCCAAACCTACGATGAAAGGAAAGGTGTTAGGCATTTTCCAATTTTCCCCCTCTTCTCAAACTCTTCAGCTGTTCTTACTCTGGGCCAGGTGGGTTACTGCTTTGGGGAGGCGTTCTGGAGCCTCAGCTTACCTATAAGTCATTCCTATTTTAGATGAGACCTTGATTCTCACTAGACAAGTCAACATGATGTTAGCCCAGAAAGCCACTTAAAGCTAAAAGCAGGAACTAAAAACTTAAGATTTCATTTTCTACATTTACTGGGGTATGATGACCTGACCAGTTCCATGATGGAAGCGTAAATTGATAGAATCATGTCCATAAAGAACTTTGGACACCCCAAGAGCAAGTGGCTGCAAAACTAAAAAATGCTTGTCACTTCAATTTTTAGTCAGAGACATGACCTTGCTCCCTAAGGAATTCAGGGTGTGGGGGTCTAACTAGCACTGTTATCCCGGGCTGCCCCACGAGGGTAAGAATACACGAGCAGTCAGGACAGGTGATGGCGTACACTCAGCTCGAGGTTTCTCTTCCACAAGAAACCCTCTGAAATTTATAGGGGATGCAAAAAGCAGAGTAGCAATGATTTGAGTATATGAGAGAAAAAACGTGAATCTGAGCTGTCCAGGCTGGGTATCGAGAT